AAGGCCGGACAGAGCAGGGGGAGGTGTTGCGGGGGCAGGACGGTGCGGGCAGAGCAGGGCCACCCACTCCTGCAGCTGGTGGCTGAATAATTCGAGTCAGGAGAGAGCGCACAGGCCAGGAAGGAACCTCAGGGCCATCCTCGGAGGAGCAGCCTGGGACAGGAAGTCTCCACGCTCCCCTCCCCCGTGTCTTCTCACGTTGAGGAGACAGACCAGAGGGCGCCTTCAGCTGTGCCTAGACCCTCCAGTGGGGACCAGGTCTTGGACCTCCAGTTGCCACAGGGGCCTCTGCTGGGCCCTGGGGCTGCTCCTGTGACAACTGGGACATTTGGATCTTCACAGCTGTGCTGAGGACTTGAAAGCGAAGGGCCGGAGCATCCAGCGCGCTGGGTGGAATGGCAACCAGCCATTCCACTTTCTGTCCTCAGATCTAGCTCTCATGCTGATTCTCACCTTGCCTCTTCCCATAAACTCCTACAGATGCTTCAATGCCCTTTACTCCACGGACGTCAGGATGCTCAGTGGGTACAAGTGCTGAGGTGCCACTCAGATACCCTGGCTTTCTCTCCGTTTACTGTGTGAGCTTAGGAATGCAACTGTCATTCTCTGAGTCTTGTCTTTAAGACGGTAAAAAATAACTCCCTTGCTTCCACCGAGAGGTTCACGTAACAGTCAAGCAAAGTTTCACACAAATCAAAATGAGACCAGGACAGCCTAGAGGGGCCTCGCTGCCAACAGAAAATACCAGGAGGGCCTGGAGCAGGGCACACTGCTGCCCTGCTGGGGAAGGCCGATGGCGGTCTTCTACGGAGCTGATTTGCTCTGACCACAGGGGCCCGCACGCGTGAATGTTTGCTGAACCGTTTACCCGAGCTCTGGGATTTGCAGGGAAGTCCTTCAGGCTGGGTATTGGTGGCACACGCCTGGCATCTCGGCACCTGGTGGAGGCCACACAACGAGGCTGGCGAGAGCAGTGGCCACAACAAATACCTGCCTGTCCTTCCTTGGGTGAATGGGCAGACTACAGCACAGATGCAGACAATGGAATCGTGGGCAGCAGGGCCAGCAGCGCCAAGGCTACAGGAGCCCTTTAGATGGATGTGACTGAGTCAGAGGCCACGCTGAAAAGGCGGGTGGCCGTCGGGCCGTGGGGGGAGAGGAGAGCAGAGGTGGAACATGGAGGATTTTCGGGTAAGGCTATTTCCCTGCCGTTTCACACAGCCTCAGGACCCTGGGTCAGCCAGACCTTTGTTTCTAAGGGGTATGGACAGTAGCCATCAGTAGGGACAAATGTTCCCACTCATGCAAGCAGGGGACCAGTGTGGACAAAGGAACGAAAAGGGTGATTTATGGGACTCAGTCGTTTAGGCTCAGTTTCTCTGTAACCTGAAAGCCCGCGGGTTAGCACTTTCCAGGTTTTGGCACGGGCAGGCTCCCCTGTGGGCTTTGATGAGGGTCGGGGAGGGCCGCTCTGGAGAGGGCTAGAATATGATATTATTCTAGAATAAGAATATTATATTGCCATTAAAAAGAGCAGGGCTGGAGTCCGAGCTAGTTGAGCACAGAGATGAGGCCGGAGGAGCCGTGAGGAGACAAGAATATACAAAGACAAGCGGCCTGCCCTGGCGCTGCTGGGAGGGGAAAGGGGACGCTGGCTGGTGGCCCTGGAGAGCATGGTGGGAGGGGCCGGCAGAGACTCATTCTCAACAGCCTTTGGAACGTTCAGAGCTGCCCCAAGTGTGCTTTACCTATCGAAAAAAAACAACCCATAAGTATATTTTAAACCTGAAAAGACAAATGTGAGTTCAGTTTTTTTGTTTCTTTAATGAGTGGGTCCGCTCCGCGGGGTTCCCGCCAGGCGCTGGGCGGCCCCTTCCGTGTGGGCGGGATGCGCCCCAGCCCCTGCCTCCTGCCCACGACCTGGCTCACACCTTCCCGGCTCAGGTTCAGCTGCCGTTCAGAGCTCAGAGCCCGACCACCCAGCACTTCTGGGCAGCCCCAGGGGTGGCTGCTGGGCGGGGCCTGGGAGGCGCAGGCGGGTTGGGGGCTGCTTCGGGGAGGACGCAGGGGGGAAGGGAAGCCGTGCGTGCCTCAGCTTCCCCCTGGTTGGTGGGAGGGGCTCTATCAAGATGAATGTTTTTCATTTGATTTTTTAATTTCAGGACAGGGTTTCCTGGAGCCCAGGGTAGCCTCAAACTCCTTGCGTAGCGGAGGGTCGTGCTGGCCCAGCCTGGGCAGGGACGGCAGGCAGTCTCCCCCCACCCCACCCCCCCTGTGCACCCCGGGGCTTTGCACAGCTGTTCCGCCCCAGGCCTTGGCATGCTCTGAACCGTCTGCCTGAAGGGCCGGCGTCCCACCTAACCCTGTTCTGCGGAGACACCTTAGCTCAGGCTTGAGCCGCATTCGGAGCTGCCCGAACCTCCCTCACAGGCCCCCTCCGGCCTCCGGACTTCCCGCGGGGCCACAGCCCCCGTCCCCGCCTTGAAAATCCCATTCATTCAGTGGACTTCGTGCCAAGGTCAGAGGACAACCTCAGGAGTCTGTTTTCTGCCTCCACCGTGTGGGCTTCAGGGATTGCACCCAGGTCGCCAAGCGCCTTCACCCGCTGAGGCACCTCGTTTCTTTGTTTTCCAAAGATGCTTAATGACCTATGTGCTGCGGCGTGCACGCAGGTGCCCACAGGGCAGAGGCGTGAGGATTCCCTGCAGCTGTGGGCACCCCAAAACGGTGCTGCCGGCTGTCCTCCCAGCTGGCCCCTCCTTTGTCCCAACGCTGTCTTGTGGAGTCTGCTGGTCTTCCCACTGTGCGTCTCATTTGTTCTCAGCGCTGGATAAGGCGGGACCCTAGGCCCGAACCTGCAGCAAGCCTTCGCGGCCACCAGCTACCCGGAGGCCTCACTCGGACCAGTGAGTCCCTGGGTAATGTGAGCCTTGCTGGATGCTGGGGTGGAAGCAGGAGGTGCCTGCCGGTGGGGATGGGAGGGTGCTTCAGCTGAGGAACAGGAGGTATGCGGAAGCTGTAGCGGCACCTGGGGAGGACGCACTCAGGGTGCCGGGCTCACCGCGTGCAAAGGCCCTTGGCAGGATGGCGCCTGGCATGCTGGAGCATGGAGGAGCTTATTTGGCTGCAGCAGGGTGAGCATGAGGTGGAGGGGCAAGGAAGGGAGAGGGGAGAGCAGGCCACTGGGGGCTCCCGGAAACACTTGAGCTTTGGCCCTGAGGCGGACGGCAGTGGGTAAAGGTGGGAGTCCTGCTGACACTTTTGTAGTTCAGCAGCGGCGACTCCACCGGCCTCAGGTGGCCTTGTGTGTCAGGGCAGGCTCTAGGAAAGGGCACATCTCCACATTCCCAGTACCTGCTCTGGCCTGAGGACATCTCTTGGCTCTGATGGCCTTCCCCGTGGGTATCTCTTCCAGGCCTTCAGAGAGTAAGGCCAGACCTGTGCTGTCCTGATGGTCCCCACTGCTCTATACAGGAGGATGCTGGGACATTCCAGATGGGGGCCTCCGTGTGGGGGTGATGTCAGCCCCTCACTGGCTAGTAAATGTTTATGGCCAATGGGGCCTGGGTTTTGGGGCTCCCTGGAGCCTGGTGAGCAGCTACCCCATCCTGCCCCTTTCTGGGGGTCTGGATGCAGGCGGGGGCCTGGCAGGCCACTCTAGCCCTGGCAGCTGGCCCAGAAAGAATGGCTGGGTGGGCTGCGTGCAGGGCAACAGCGGGGAGCAGAAGGCTTGGGCTTTGAATGCCCCTTCCTCAGGTTCGTGGAAGACAAAGACCTGAATGGCATGCAAGACAGCACCAGGCCAGGTCCTCGGAACTCTCCTGCCCTGTCTGTCAGGTAGGATGAATGGAAAAGGAGAGGGAGAGTGATGATAGTGCCTCAAAGTGAAGAGCCAGGACTGTATTCCCAAGTGGCTACGGTTGAAGTCCATTCAAACTTCTGTAGGGACACAGCCAGAACCAGGGCTGGGTACATGAGGCCCAGCTGGGGGACCTGTCCTGATGACCACAGGGAAGTCATTCTTCTCATCTCTCAGGCAGAGCTGAGGCTGGAGGCCTGTGCTGGAGGACAGAGCCAGGAGCCTAGTACTCAAAGCTGGTGCATCTTAACTCCAGCACCCTTGGGGCCTGGGCTCGTGTGCCTTTTGCATCTCTTGGGGCTTCCCATTCCTTTTCTGGGGAGCTCAAGGTCCAGCTCAAACAGGGGATGCCTGCCACCAGGACTGGCCCTCAGAGCAGGTCCGTGTTCCAGGAGGGCAGAGGGTGCGGCCCTCCAGCAGCGAGTACAGGGGCCTCGGGAGCCAGGCTCCTCAGGCAGGACACAGACCTTGATTTATGGTCCCCAAGCCTGCTGGAGCCCACTGCTTCCTCCTCGGTCGCCAGGAAGCTCGGCCAGTGCTGGGCCGGGCGGCAGCATTCCAGGGCCACCTAAATCACAGGGCTGTCAGCGGCTGGGCAAGGATCCCGCAAGGCAGGGATTGGGCCCTGGGTCACCTGGCCAGGCTGATGGGCTCCATCCCGCGCTTGTGGCGGCCCACAGGGCAGATCAGCCTTTCCGGGGCTCTCTGCTCCATTGCCCAGGAACTTGGAGCAACCAGTGTGTGGGGCCTGGACGTGTTTTCCAGAAGCTGTTGGCTTTGGGGACAGGCCCGGGCGGGGAAGCCTGAAACCTGAGCATAGGGGTGGTCAGCTCTCCACTTGCTGGTGGCTGACCATGGGATTGTACCGTACGTTGTGTCAATGCGGCCCTCCAACACAGCTCCCTCTGGCCAGCAGGCAGCTCTCTGCGGGGCCAGGTCAGTGGCTTCGGCACAGCCCACAGGCCTGCAGGCAGGAGCATGTGGTCTTCTCCCTGGCTGCCTGGGAAGCACCCTATGTGCCCAGCGCAGGCCTGGGCCCGTGTCACCTCATCTGCTTCCTGCCACCCCTGACCCAACCCCCCCCAACCCCGGCCTCCCCCGTGGCTGGCGCATGGCTGCAAGCCTGTCTCCAGGACATGCACACAGGGACACACAGTGTTTATTTGCAACAGGGGCTCCTCTCACACCTTGCGGGTGGCAAAGAACTCCCAGCCTTCCAGCTTGCCGATCTTGAACAGGGAGGCCGCAGTGCCCATGCAGATGCAGCCCGCGGCTGCAGTCCCGTAGTTGTGAGCTGTGGAGAAGGCTGGCATCAGGCATGGGGTGCTCCAGATGTGACCCGGGAGCTCCCAGGAGAACGAGGCCTGACAGAGTTGGGGAGACTGAGGCCAGGCTGTCCTGCACCAACTACCCTCTGACTTAGAGACATTGTGGGGAGGTGGGCGTGGTCATCCCTGACTTCAGGCAGTGGGGATACCTTACTGCTACAGCCTTTTCCCACAGCTGAATGAGGGTTGGCATGGCATTCCCTCCCCAGGCGCCCAGGGCCACACAGTGAGAAAAAGGCGGCCTGGGGCTGAGTCCAAGTCGGGCTGTGGGTCAGAGCCAAACCTCAAATGGTCCCTAGTGGGATGGACGGCCGCGTCAGTCAGTTCTCAGTGTCCACATCCCAGTTGTGGGGGGCTGGGCCAGGATCTCACTGCAGGGCACAGGCCTCCTCTCACCTGAGCCTGTCAGTGACTGCCTGTGACAGGGTGGCAGGGGCGGGATGGAGCCTGCCAGGCTGGTGGGGCCAGGGCAGGGCCTGTCACAGGGCCGCCCGGAACAATCAGGGGTTATACACTGTCCTGGAGGACGGTGCTCACCTCGGGCTCCCAAGGTCAGGCCTCCTGCGCAGCCTCCAATGAAGTAGTTCAGGGGGTCGTCTGGCTTCTCTCGGACCTGGGCACTGACACAGGTGGCGAGGCCAAACATAGCTCCAACAGCAGCTGTGAGAGGAAGTGGGGGTTGGAGGCACTGAGCTAGCACCTGGCTGTCTCGTGCAGAACCCCTAGCCAGCCCTGCAGCCAGTCTCCCAGGACCCCGCCTGTCACCATCCCCTGGATGCCCACTCACCTGCCGTGAAGGTGTACCGGCCAATTCTGGCCACTGCTTCCAGGCGAGAATCTGCAGGGTTGTGTACGACGCTGTAAGCAGAGCCTATGGCACCTGTGAGAGCGGGAGAGTGGAGACTGCTGGGAGGCCCTTCCAAGATACAGCAGGACTCGAACTGGGCTCCCTGCTGCCCGGCCAGGGCCTACCTCTTGCCCTTGCTGAGAGCTGAGGCAGAGCCCTGTCTCAGCAGGCGGAGGATGGTTCACCAGACCTGACCCAGGCCTTGTGCCATCAATAATGCAGCTGCCACAGCACCTCCTCCGCTCCCATCAAAGGCCATACTTTCCAAGGGGCTGGAACCTCGGCCTAATCCGGCTTGGCAGCAACTGGGCTAAGAGATGCCAGACCTTCCACGTGCCGGTGGCTTGGCCCAGACGTGTCTCCACACCTGGCTGGCTCTGCTCCTCCCACGCCCACCCCACTGCCACACCGGTCAGCTTTTCCAGCTCCTCCACTGCCTGACACCAGGCTTCACACCACGGCTCGTGTAACATGCTGACGCCAGGGTGGGAGCTGAGCAGAGCCCAGGACTGGGTGGGCTGCAGGGCAGGCACCACAGTCAGGCTGGGCCAGGCACAGGCAGCCCCACTCCACTGTCCACACTCCCTGGCACAGCTGACACAGGTTCCCACAACTGGCTATAGGCCCATCCTCGCCTCTCGTCCTCCAAGCTGGATGTCCCCTGCTGTTGTTCCTTTCACTGGGGGTGAAGCAGCCCAGAGGATCAGAGCTACCAGCCTGAGCTGGCCACAGGGCAGTGGGTCTGGCCCCTCGACCACTGACCACTCGCCCTTTCCGGTGAGCTCTGGAAAGTTCTGAGCTGAGCACTGAGCGCCTACAGACAAAGGACCCTCGTTAGCCTCAAAGATGAAGAAGCTAGGTGCTGGCAGGAGGCTACGAGGGGCTGGGACTCCTCAGCCCAGCCATACCTCTGCCTCAGCATCATTGGCTTCCCTGTGCACAGAGGTGAAATGCTCTCACAGAAACGCCCACCCCCACCCGCTGGGGCCACTGGAAATCCTGATCAAGATGGGAGAAGCCACTGGGTCATGACAGCAGGACCGTTCCGACACAGGGATCCTGGGTGACTGCACTGACCACACCTGACAAGGAGCACAGGACACAGTCCCAGACCAACCGTCCTCCACCCCCTTCTTAGCCACTGCCCCTGTGGGGACTCTCTGACGGCCCAACACAAGCACAGCCAGGCCTTAACACCACGGAACCTCCGGGAGCAGCTGCGCCCTGGAACCAGCCTTTCCTGACTAAGAGCTGTGCCAGCAAGGCAGGAAGTCGTTCATTCACTCACTGTGCCACAAGCCATGCCCATCCATCCATCCATCCATCCACTCACTGACTTCATTCATGAGTTCCTCTGTGTCCCGGTTGCTCCATCTCGCTGGGAAGGCAGGTTCACTACCCTCCTGCAATGACCCCCTTTAGGGGAGCCAGACAAGAAACAAGTGAGCAGCCTAGGAACAAGGGAGGTGGTACAGAGGGAAGTGCTCAAAGGAGAATAACGCTCCACCTGCCCGTCAGCAGCATCCCACATGGCACCTCTGGTAAGGGCCCTGCCTACTCTCAACATCTACCTCCGACAGACTCCAGCCAGGCCCCGACAGTGCACACACTCATCCTCCGGGCACCAATGTTCTGTCCACTTAGAAATCACCCAAAGCAGCTGGGCAGTGGTGCCTCACACCTCTAGTCCCAGTGCTCAGGAGGCAGAGGCAGACAGATCTGAGTTCGAGGCCAGCCTGAGCTACACTGTGAGCTCCAGGGCAGCCGGAACTATGAAGAGAGAGCTTGCCCCCTTATCCCCCAATCCTACCCATCCCCCGGCAAAAGGCACAAAACAAAAACAAACAAGAAAACAAAAATTCTTCCAACCACCTGACCCTACAGCACTTGCCTGGTAGCAGCAAAATCTTGTGGGGCCTGTGGACACACTGTGAATGCATGAACGAACAAGGCCTTGAGGGTGCACAGTGAATGAATGAATGAATGAATGAATGAATGAATGAATGAATGAATGAGGCCTTAAGGAAAACTGTGACAGTCCCACATGCCTAAGGCGACCCCATGGGAGCCCCCAAAAGCTACCTGACCTTTCTAACAAGTAAGTGTGTCCTATTTGGAATCCTCCAGGATTAGACGCTCACGGTGGTGTATGCTTTTAATCTCAGAACTCAGGAGGCAGAGGCAGGAGGATTTCCTTGAGTTCCAGGCCAACCAGGGCTACATAGGGAGATCGTGTCTGAAAATAACAGTAAATAAATATCTTCCTTGGCACGCCTTTAATACCAGTGCTCAGGAAGCAGGGGCAGATGGAACTCTGAGTTTCAAGGACAGCCTGGGCTACACGGTGAGAGCCTGTCTGAAAAAAAAAATCTCTAAAATAAGCACAAATAATAACAGAGACATCTGCCAGCATCTAAACCGGGGGGCAGCCCTGTCATCCATCACCTGGGCAGCTGAGGCAGGAGGGTCAGGAGTTCAGGCCAGGTTGGAGACAGGAAGATCGGTAACCCAGGGCCATCCTCAGCTACACAGCCAGTCTGCGGTCTAGCCTGCGCAACACTAGGACGTCTCTTCAAAACCTCAGATGACCCGATCACCAATTAACCCTAAATAGACGTTCATATTTTCTCCAGCTTTTGCACCCCGATGATGGCCTATGCCACTGGACGGGTCTACGCCCCTCAACATCCTCACGCTCCTGCACCTTAGGGCCCTGCGTGACCTCCGCGCGCCCTCTGACCTGCGCTCTCTGCCCTCCGCCCTCGGGCCCGCGCTCACCGACAAGGCCGCCGAAGGCAGTGGTGATGTAGGTCTTGCGGTGACACTGGGTGCCGTCGGGTATCTCATCGTAGGCTACGAAGAACCGCTCGGCCATGGCTGCCACTCCGCAGCCCTCTCCGCGCCGTAGCTAGCTCAAGGGCAGCCGGCACGGCCAATTCTCGCGAGGTTTCCAGGGCGCAACTTTATTGAGCGCCGCGACCATGGCCACGACTTGTGCGCACGCGCATGCGCACGGCGCGGATTCGCGCCGACGTCTTACTTTACGCAGCAGAAGCTGTGTCGTGCGCATGTCCGCGAGTGAATCTGTGCAGAAACACCCGTGGCTTCCTTCCTGGAAAGGTAAACTGAGGCTCTCACTGTAAATGAAGAAAAACGCCGCCAGCCCTAGCTAAGACGGGGTTCCCAGCATGGAGAAGGTTGAGAGGCTTTCCAAGGGATTGTCAAGTTGTCAGGCGGCTGGGTGAGTGAAATTGACAGCAGGTAGGCCAATCTCAGTGCAGATATTACAGTGCGAGGCGGACCTCCGCCTGATTAGCCAGCGCTGCAGTGATGGGCGGGACATAGCGGGGAAGTAGCCAATCAGAGATCCAGAATTTCGCGGGGGGTGTGGCTACGTGCGCCTCCTGAATCATAACCGCGTGCAACTATTTGGGGGCGTGGCCAGGCCGGGAGCGGGGATCGTCGGCCGAGGGTGAGCACAATGCTTGACGGAGACCCAGGCCCAGTCTGCGCAGGCCCCAGCCCTCGCTGCGCTCGGAGGCGTAGCCAGACGGAACAGCTCGTCCTGGAAGGGACGTGAGCGTGGACTAAGGGGCGTGGTCGTCCTCGGGCCTGCCCGAAACGCGGCCAATAGCGAGCGTTTAAGAGGAAGGCACGTGCCTTCGCTCGGGGCGGGGCCGCCTGCCGTTCGCTCTGGGGTAGGGCGGGCCTCCTGAGAAGGTTTGAATTAATGCGGCCGCAGCCTGGGCGGACCGCGTCAGGGGGCGGGGCCCGGAGGTGGGGGTGGTGTGGTGGGCGGGCCCTGGCGGGGTGGGGCGGGGCCTGCGCGGCGTCCGGGGACCATGTCCGCGCCGCCGCCGCTGCAGATCCGGGAAGCGAACGCACACCTGGCGGCCTTGCACCGTCGCGCGGCGGAGCTGGAGACGCGGCTGCTGGCGGCGGAGCGCACGGTGCGCGCGCAGGCCGAGCGTCTGGCCTGCCACGACCAGCAGTTGCGCGCTGCCCTGGACGAGTTGGGCCGCGCCAAGGACCGGTGAGGCCCGGGAGGAGGCCTGGCGAACTTCCCAAGGGAGGTGGGCGGGAAGAGCTGGGAACCGAGAGCAAAAATCCCCGGAGCACTAAATGCCCGGCATCGCAGCACTTTAGAGAAGTTGAGGCCGGAGGATCAGGCGTTCAGGACCAGCCTCGACTACATGAGGAAGTAAAAGAGTATATAGCCCGAACCGCATGAGAGCCTTTCAGACTGTTCAAACGGAGCCAGCTGTTCCACAAGGTCGAGTCCTCTGGTACTTGGCCGCCCTAGGGGCGCAAGAGTATTGTGCCGCCTGAGGATCAGAGGGGGATCGAAGAGAAGAGTATGTCCCAGAGGCTGCTAGGTAGGGGCCACATCGGTAGATAAAGGCACAGAGCACCCAAGGACCGCGATGTCAGAACCCATACAGAATAGTCAGAGCCGTGGCAACCGTTTGGGGCCCCGAGGGAGTCAAAGTGGCATTGTTTTGTTTGCGAGAGAAAGCGGGTCTTTTGGAGTGCTGGGATGACAGGTGAGGGCCAGGGCTGCCATAGGGGTGACAGTGCTTTACCAAGGTGGCTGGCTCTACGTGTAAGAATTTGGTCTCATGGGGTTAAAGGAGTGAACCAACTTTTGCAAGTTGTACCCCGACTTCCACATGTAGGCTGTGGCACATGCCTCCCCACACAAGCACACAAATACAGAGGCAGCAGAGGAGGGCACCTAGGGAGCCTCCAGGTAATGTCCGCCCCACCGCTGCATGTCCTATATGTAACAGCCTCATTTGGTCCTCTCACCAGGGAGATTTCTGCCCTCCGAGAGCAGCTGCTGAGCTCTGAGGCCACTGTGCGCAGCCTGAAGGCCGCAGTGGACCAGAAGGACCAGGTGATCCAGCAGCTTCAGCCCCGGGCTGACCTTCTGCAGGACATCGCTCGCCGGCGCCCACCTCTGGCTGCACTGCTGGCCGCCCTGGAGGAGGCCGAGGGGCTGGGCCCCTTGCCAGCTAGCAACCCGGGCCAGCTACTTCCCGATGGCCCCGGCCCACCTCTGGGCAACAGCACTGGGGGGGAGGAGGGCCAGGACAACCTGCAGCCTGCTGTGTTTGGGACCACAGTGTGAGCTCTCCTGGAGGATCTCAGAACGTGTGGTCAGGGGCCCTCCTAGAGCCCAGGAGGGGACTTGGGACATTGCTGGGATCACATCTAAACGTCCAAACAAATGAAAGACCCAGATCCTACTTAAAACCATTTTCCCCAGTGCCGGGGTATCTGCTACATTCCACTGATTTAAATAGTTTCAAAAACAAACAAAAAGGCTGGGGTAGGTAGCTCAGTTAGCTGGAGCACGCACGAGGCTGAAATCAGGTGAGGCGACAGGATGCCAGTCATCCCAGGCAGGACTAGTGAGAAGATGGGGCAGTGGCTTTAAAGTGGGGTGTTTCCTGTTGGCGATAGGGACCCTGGCAGCCAGGCCGGCCTCAGACTTGCTGTCTCAGGAGGGTGACCCGCAGCTCTGCTGGGTGACAGACAGGCTCCCACCACAGGCCCTGCCTTTGGGGGTTTTGTTTGTATTTTGCTTTGAGATGGGGTCTCCCTCTATAGCCCAGGCTTACCTGGAAGCCACGGTCCTTCCAAATGCTTCAAATACAGGTGTGAGCCACCATGCCTTGCTGATGTGAGCCCCCCTCCCCTTTTTGCTCTTCTGTCTCCTGAGCCATCCTTCATGGGGCAGAATCTCCTCTTCATTTCATGTTCCGCCCCTTCTGTGTGAGAAGACAAATCATTAACCTCGGATCTATTTCCCTTAGCTCCATCCTTCCCTCTGGGAAGGACAGGTAGGTTGAGATATCAAAACCAAGGATGCCTCTGCCTTTGCCACAGGGCCTATGTACTGGCTGTTCCCTCTGCCTCCGTGCTTTCTCCCCATTTCCAGTTTCTTGACACTCAGGTTTCTCTCAAATGTCTCCTTCCAGAGGGGCCTTCTAACCAGCATCCCTGAAGTAATTCCTGCAGGCTGGTCACAACCCTACACTGTGATTATTTGGTTTGGTTTTTTTGAAGCATAGTCTTGTGTAGCCCAGGCTGGCCTCTTTTTATGTAGCTTGGGCTGGCTTTGAATTTCTGATCCTCCTGCCTCAGCATCTCCAGTGCTAGGATGACAGGCTTGTGCAGCTGCCCACAGCCCCAGCCTGGGACCAGCTTTCCCATGGAAGGCAAAGGCTGTTAGGGACTTTTGCCTTCTGTCTTCATCAGTGCCTGGCACAGCCCGGGAGGCCCTGCCATAGCCAGGAGCCTTCTGAACATCTGATGAGCCCTTTCCCCATCCCCGAGGACAATGGTGTTTTTGTAGAAAGTCTCCTTTTGATAACCTAAGAGAATCTATTTTTTTAAAACCTTGGTGTCTGTGCTGTCTAGGGCCTAAGATGGTGAGGGCACACTTGATTAGAGAGAGGAAGGGTCCCCACACATCCGTCTGGTTTCATGGTCCCAGTGCTCAAGGACTCCACGAGCAGCCACTGAGGAGGAAGGCGGGGCTGTTCCAAATGCAAGGGCCTCCGGCCATCCGGTCTCTGTCTGGAGTCTGACAGGGACCCTCAGTGTAGGAGACAGAGGCCCATTTTATCCTGGGGAGGGAGGGGAGAAGGGAGCTGTCTGTACAGGGAAAGGCGGGCTAGGGCCTGTCTGCACCAGAATAAACCAGGTACTTTTCCCGCTGAGCTGCCTTTTTTTTTTTTTCTATTGTGGGGACTGGAGAGAGTGCTGCTGGGCCTGGGCACACTTCGCAGCTGAGGAGGCTGAAGCTGGCAGTCCTGCAGCGTCCATGCACAGGCTGTCCTCAGTGACAGAGGAGGAAACTCAGCCCAAAGAAGTGCAGGGAGACTGCTTCTCCATCTACAGCCCACGGCCACTTCCAACTCAGGAGACAAGGACAGTACTGAAACGCCTAATAGCCAAGTGCTGTCTCCCTTGGGGGTTCTACGCGGGGTCTGGAATGCCAGCCTTGCATCTTACCATTAAGACTCAGAATTGCTTGGGCTGGCACTCATCGGCCAGGCTTGCTTGCCGTGGGTTGAGACCCGGGTTTTCACATCAGCACTATGAAAGGGAACACCTGAGAAATTTGTGTAAGAGTTATTTCTATTTTACATTTCCCTCTAGAAAAGCATTGGTGCCTTGGGTGTGGCGGAGCGACATTTGCCTGGCATGCCAAGGCTCTGGGTCCCATTGCCAAAAAGCAGGAACAATGAAGTATTTTTCTAGTACTTGCCAATAATGTTTGGAGCATAACAGGCCATCATCCATTTGGGTAGCAAAATGTCACTTCAGTTTCTCATTAACTGAATCATGACACTGGTTGGCTTGCAAACCCATGGATAGTTTTTCTTTTAATTGAGACAGTCTCTCACAGCCTGGAACTCTCGTCCCTCCATCTCCAGAGGCCCTCCATCTCCGGAGTGCTGGGATTATAGCCATGTATCACCAGGCCCCACTTTTTTGTTTTTATTTGTTGAAGATGGGGTCTCGGTCTGTAGCCAGCATGGCGTCACTTTTGACTAAGTCTCCCAAATGGGCGGGTGACATGCCTGTGCCACCGTGTCCAACTAGCCCTACACAGACGGGCTTTGAGCTGTAGTCCATGTAGTCCAGAGTGGGATGGCCATGGGCCCTGAGTGGTATAGGAAACAAGGGTCTGTCTCCAGCCAAGCTTGAAGCTACTGTGACCGCAGGGTTGGGCAGTAGGTCTGGGAGGCACAGCAGCCAACCCCTCCTGGCTGGCTAATGTGCTTGATACAGAGGTACAGGCAGGCCCCTCCCAGTCCCCAGAGCCACAGCGCCTAGCAACAGCTCTGCCAGGCAGGACGCACAGACCTCCCTGGAGCTCCACAGGCAAGACTCAAGGACACAGGCAGGCCAGGTGAGTGCTCTGGTGAGCTCAGCTTGGTCAGTGGTATCCCCAGCAACGTGCCAGGTGGGCTGAGCAGAAACTCACAGGAGTTCCGACCCCCTGCAGCTGTTCACTTGCACCCACAATGGACGCTGTGGACGCCACCATGGAGAGGCTGAGGGCCCAGTGCCTATCCCGAGGGGCCTCGGGCATCCAGGGCCTGGCCAGGTACGTCTCACTCCCAGCACTTCAGCAGCTTCTGGCCCGGGTAGTCCCCATCCACCTAACCCCATCTGGACCCCCAGGTTTTTCCGCCGCCTGGACAAGGATGGCAGCCGGTCTCTGGATGCAGGGGAGCTGAGGCAGGGCCTGGCACAGCTGGGGCTGGAGGTGGAGGAGGCAGAGGCAGAGGCTCTGTGCAGGCGCTGGGACCGAGATGGCAACCGGACAGTGGAGCTGGAGGAGTTCCTTCGGGCACTCCGGGTGAGGCTGGCTTCAGTGGCTGAGGGGCTGGGGGGGGGGGGGGTGCCATCCCAGCACTCATCACCGTCCCCGCCAGCCCCCCATGTCCCAGGCCCGGGAGGCTGTCATTGCAGCTGCCTTTGCCAAGCTGGACCGGACTGGGGATGGTGTGGTGACTGTGGAGGACCTGCGGGGGGTGTACAGTGGCCAGGCTCACCCCAAGGTACGCAGTGGAGAGTGGACGGAGGACGAGGCCCTTCGCCAATTCCTCGGCAACTTTGACACACTTGACAAGGATGGGCAGGTGTGTCTGCCTGGTGCCTCCCCAGGGCAGCGTCCCTAACCTGGGTCCGCTTGCAGCGCACCCCACCTCACAGCCGACCCATCCACAGGTAACGCTGGCCGAGTTCCGAGACTACTACAGTGGGCTCAGTGCCTCCGTGGATACAGACGCAGAATTCGTGGCCATGGTGAGCAGCGCCTGGCGCCTCTGACATGGCAGCCCTCACTTGCCCGACAGCTGCCCTTAGCCTAGTCCCTTCACCTACCTGGACCCTGTCACCACTGTCCCAGGGGCCCCAACTAGACACAGGGAGGGGGATGTGTGAGAACGGAGGCTGAAGAACCGGCTGGACCAGGTTTCCCGAGGGGCTACCCAGACCTGGCAATGGCTGGATTGATCACTGGCCCCAGCAGGGCCCCCCCCAGGCTGTCTGGAGGCCAGGTGCATGGGAGGCTGGGGCTTTAGTTGAAAGTTTTAATGCAGTTCTCAAATACATTTCATATGACAATCTTACATAAATGTTCCAAAACACATGGGCGACGTCTGGATTCACTTGTCACTGGCTGGCTAAGGCTGGGAGCAGTGTGATCCATCTGCTGGGCAGCCTCTGGTGTCCTTGCTGGCTCCCCCGAGTGGCCTGGCCAGAGATGGAACCACACAGTCCATGGGTGGGGGCCTCGTCTTCTGGCTGGGGCCAGGCCCTTTGCAGACTCCCTTTGCCTCTCAGGGACCCTAGATGGTTAGTCACCTAAGGGCTGTGCTGCGCTGGGCACCTGCTAAGGGAGACCCCAGCAGTGCGGGCGGGCAAGTGCGCAGGCACCCTCCTGGATCTGTCACCTTCGTCCAGACAGGTGTTCTCAGGCCCAAACACAGGGAGTCCCCGTGGGGGCTGGGCGCCGCCCACAGGGACATCAAGTCAGCTCAGCCCACAAGCAGCTTCATCCATGACCTCACAAACTAAGCCATCAGAAATGCACACGGGGCACCTGCCTGCCCCGTGACCCAGGTGGAGTGGGCAGCTGAGCGGACAGCAGGTTGCTCTCAGCAGAAAGCTGAGCCCAGAGTTCTCACCGTTGCTGCCCAGGGAGGAACACCACAATGCTTGGTGACCAGGTCAGCTCTGAGAGCCAGCGGAAGCTGTGACAAGTGTCAATGTGCCATTTCGATCGGAGGAGGGCGGGGAGCGTTCTTTCTGCTCATCAATATGATGAGGTCGGAGTCCCAAGCCGCATCCCGGCGTCCCCACCTGCTGTAGAGGGACGCGTGGATCCAGCCTGCGGCCACCCTAGCAATAGACACCACCATGACGCGGCCTGCGGGGAGGGACGGACGGTGGACAGACGACAAAGCAGCAGTCTGGCGCAGTGGCTCGGCCGCTATGTGCTCCCGGGAGCCTGGCCATCCCCTTCGTCACCTGTGCCTGTGGACAGAGTGGGTCTCAGTCGGCACACAGCCGGTGGGCCGGCTGGGGTCCCTCCCACTGGTCCCAGGCTGCTCACCGGCCCCCGTGACAGCCGAGGGGGCGAGCATGGCATCCTCATCACTGTCTTCCTCCTCAGTGGCCCGGGTGGCTCCTGGCTCAGGTGGGGGCGCCTTAGCCTCCTGCTCCTGCTCGGCGCGGCTACGCAGGGCCAGGATACGGTGGTGCAGTGCAGCATACAACTGGCCTGTATCCTTGGAGCTGGCCTGCGGGGGCAGGGTGTGAGGCAGGGTGTGGCCAGCAACCAGGCTGGGCAGTGCCCACGAATGTGGGCCCTGGCCTGCCACCGGGCCACACTGGCCTGGTCAGCTACGGTTCCTGACACCCCAAGTGCTGGCTGGCCCTGGAGAGTAAGGCAGGACAGTGAGCTGGGAAGGGGTCTACCATCCCTCTGTGTGTGATGAGTAGCGGAGGGGGCAGCATGGCTATCACGAACTGCCCGGGGGGGCTCTGGGACCAGCACTGAGCCAGTATGGCACCCCTGCATTCCCTTGAGCTCACCGAGATCAGGAAGACCTTGACGCCCTGGTCCTCTGCATCTGTCGCTGTGATTCGGATGCTCTTTTCACTGGCCTTGTCCATCTGCATCTGTGCCCACAGCTTCGTGTTCAGGATGAGCCGCAGGCTGCCCTGGGTCCGCATCACTGCAGCAAGGAAGCCGCTTAGCCACACCTGTCCCAACCTGCAACCCACATCTGGAGGGGTTGGGGAATCAAGCCCTTGGGGAAGAGGGTGGCCTGGAACAGGGCAGGTAGGGTGTGCCCTCATGGCCCCTCCTGAGATGGAGAAAAGCCACAACTATCCTGTGTCCACAGGGCTGAGGGCAGCTGCCAGGTCAATCCTGCAGACACTTCCATCAACACTTTTTTTTCCTTTTGAGGTAGGGGACACATGCAGGCTCAACCATGGACCAGGGCTACACAGCCTGGGCTACAGAGTTAGACCGCTTTCACACAGTCCCCCAAAGAGGTGTCAGCTCCGGGGAGCCAGGAGAGATCATGTCGTAGGCTGGCCTCTGGTTTTGTTGGAGGAAGGTTGCAAGCTGACACTCCTTCTGCCCCTGCCTTCCTTGCAAGCTGCACTGATTTCTGCGAGTGATTTGAAGACTGCTAAGGACACCTGATCAGGAAGCCAGTCCAGAGGGGCAGCAGGTCCAGACCAGAATGACAGGCCCAGGGCTCACATGGAGGACTGCTATTCCTGTTTGCAGCCATGCCCCTGCCCCAACTGTGGAGCCCACACTTCTGGTTTTGGCGTGACCTGTGCCTACCTCTGGGAAGATCTGTCCTTCCCCAGAGCTCACCTAGCCGGGACTGTAACGTGCCATCATCGGTTGCTGCCATGTCATTAAGCCTGAGGAGTCCCCGGCCGCGCTCCACCCACGACTGTGAGGTCTTGTCAAACACGAACAACTTACACTGCATCTGTAACACAACAGGGCCAGTGAGCACGCCCTCTCTGCCCCAAGCTGAGAGCTACCAGGGAGACTGAGACATCTGACCACCCCACCTGGCTCCCAGGTCCAAAACCTAAGGCCAGTGTCCTGACGGTGGCCAGCTTTCTCTTTGTCTAGTCATCTTTTATGGTTTTGGTCTCTGTGGTGCTAGGAATGGAACCCAGGGCTCCAGCACACTGGGCTCTACCACAGAGCCACACCTCCAGTTCAAGCGTGTAGACAAGGGCAACCCTGGAAGCACAGATCCAGACACAGATGCCGCTGAGCTCCCACACTGAAGGAGCACTGTGTACGGTCAAGAGATGCTTGGCTGCGGAAACAGCGACAGCCCCACAGTCCCTCCCGCTACCCACCCAGAAAGCAAGCACACAACCTAACAAATATACTTGTGTTACACTGCTTGGAAGAGTCTCGAGGCCGGAAGAGGACAAGTACCAGCTCACTGACACTGTCCCGTCCCTGTTACTCAGCCAGGAACAAAAACAATGCTCACATATGGCTCGTCACAGACTTAAGGACACTAACTGCTCAGTGACAAAACCAATCAAAGTCCCACAGATGGTGGGATTCCATAAGAAATGTCCCAGACCGAGATATCCAAAGATATGAGGATGCCAAGGTGCTCGATCATTGGGACAGAGCCTTATTTAGGTGATAAAAACACCCTGGGTCAAATTGTAACAATGGCTGTACAACTCATTTTTTTGTTTCCTTGAGATAGAAAAGTTCCTGACTGGCCTGGAAATCAGAGTTCCACCTGCCTCTGTCTCCGAAGTGCTGGGACTGAAGGCCTGCACTATCACACCCAGCTTCACTTTGTTGTTGTTGAAGACAGGTGCTTGCTATGTAGCCCAGGCTGGTCTTAATTCCTGGTAATCCTTCTGCCTCAGCATCCTGTGTGCTTGGTCTCACCTGCAGCACGTTGCTTTCTGCCTCCTCCCCTGTAATGACCTCCACCTTCTCCAGCAAACATGTCCACGCTGTAGCCTTCGTATAGGCAGCTGCTGACTCGGCCAGCGACTCTGCACAGCAGGGGGACCCAAGAAAGAAGCACAAGTCAGCAGGCCTGGGCTTCCTTCCTGAGGACCTGGGGAGCCCTGTCCTGGTCAGCAGAGCATGGCCACCCACCAGCCAACACAGGCACTTGAGGCCAACCTCTCATGTCCATTGGGGCCACAGCTGTCCCTACCTGGGGATCGGGAGTCTCCCCCTGGATGTGTGCAAGGCTGGGCTGTACCTTTCTTGGGCACAGCCTCCTGGGATGATGACTCAGACCCCGACTGGGCATGTGTAGTCTCCCTGCTGGCATCTGAATTGGCTTCATTCAGCTTGGGGGGGCTCTGAGGAAACAAGCGTGCCAGGGCGGAGCTGCTGTGGGTGCTGAGGACAGAGCGAGAGGCCCAGCAGGGACGGCCGCTCAGCACTTCCCGGAGGCCTGACTCCTGCACCCTGCAGGGCCTGTCCTCAACAGCCATTCCATTCCTAGTCAGGCCCAGCCTCGCAGGGCCGCAGGATGCCACCTGTGTGTAGCCATCTGGGGTCGTTCTGTGGCACCACACTGTGGCAGACCAACAGGAAGAAGCTGCAGCATGGCTACAGAGTGGTGGGAAAGCAGGGAATGTGCACGCGCCTGCTAGCCTGGCTGACCCCGTCCTGCGGAAGTGGCAGACATGGCTGGCCCTGTGGACAGGGACACAGGGCAGCTGTCTCAGTGGTGTAGCTTTGAGTGCCACAGCGGATGTTCACCACAGCTGGCCCTGGCCACAGGGAAGTCTATGTCAGTGGACAGTGAAGACCACTGGTGATGCCAGCCCCTGGCAGCCTCTGTGGGCAACCGAAGCCTCTAACAAGTGGAGCTGGTCCTTCTCATCCCTACACCTCAATGTCCTGCCCTGACTGCACAGGAGAGAGTATGTCAGCCATAGACCGTGTGCCCCCGAGTGGGAACAGGGACCAAAACACAGTGCCAGGGTCACTCACCAAGACGCGCTCACTCATGTTCTGGCCAAACACAAACTTGGTGGAGGTGTCAGCACTGTGGGTCGAGTTGTCTGTGCTGGAGAGGAGTGGCGCTGTCAGTGTGGCACCTGGTGTGCACCGCCCAAGCACAGGCCACGAAGGGTGCCACCGCCTCCCTCCCTCCCTCCCAGCGCACAGGCTGGGCAGACGCCCACCCTCTGCTTCTCCAGTGGAGGGTCCTGGTGGCGTGTGCGCTCCACAGCGGCTCACCTGGAACTGATGTACTGCAGAAAGTAGTTGGTTGCTGTGGGTGTTTCTGAGCTGGGGTGTGCGCTGCTGTCCACATCTGCCACATCAGCATTCTCGTTCAGTAACTGAGAAGAAAGACGGAAGCAGGCTGTTCATGTGAGCTTGTCTCACAGGTGTCTGCCAAGTCCTGCTGTATGAACGCCTGGTGTACAGGGTGCAGCTGCCACCAACATGGCTGCACTTGATACAGCAGTTAAGATACAAAGGCAAGCTGGGCATAGCGGCACACGCCTTCAAACTCAGCACTGGGAGGCAGAGGCAGGAGGATCTCTGAGTTCAGGCCAAAAGGACTATAGTAAGATCTTGTTTCAAATAGATAATTGTCTGGT